ATTATTTTTTTTAATTAGATATCAACACAATTAATTGTAGACTAGTTGTAGACTACTGGGTTATTTGTAGGGAGGCGATGAGAATTTGGAAAGGACTGTGAAGAGCAAGATTGTTTGCATATTAATTTTGCAATTTCAAACTAACCCGAGACGCAATGTATTTGTTAAGCAGATAAACCATCCAGCAGGGTGAGATTGTGGCGTGTCAGTGTTTAGGATATAAAGGAAATAATTCAGAAAATGTGGGACTAGGGTGTATCATAACGATGATTTAAAAAAAAAAAAAGTACAGTATTTCTTGTTTCTTTCCATAGACAAATCTTCAAACAGTTTCTCACCAACCGAGTACTAAAAGATCCTAAGCAGAGGCGGTTTTTCAAGTCTAATGACATTTATGAACTTTTCACGCTGAGCAATCCTGACGGCTCCCAGGGAACAGAAACCAGCGCAATATTTGCAGGTAATTCATGGATATATTAACAATTTGAACATATTTTCTTTGTAAGAACAGCTCTGTTCATTTGGCTGGTTTCACAAAGAGAACATGTTGAAGTCATTGTAAATACCATTTAAAAACATTTTATTGGTACACTGTCAGGGGTAGTACCCTTAAAGAGACAACTTTGTACCTCGACTACCCCGAAAAGATGCATATTATTATCTTGAGGTTGTAATATGTGCCCTTAAGTTACTACAATTAACCATTTAGGGATAAATAAGATACATAGTTGACCTTTGCACCAGTGAAAAGCAGTTTCACTCCTGAAGTTACATTTTTAGCACATTTTTTCCTGAGAGTGCAGATACATAGCTCTATTAAATTGTGATGTCTTTTTGCTTATTTTATAGGCACAGGGTCAGATGTCCAGGTTCCAAAAAGACACAAGACCTCCCGTCCTTCTCAGGGAACCTCCAGACCATCATCGTTTACTTCATCTGCTTTTTGTGTTAACGACCAAGATAACACATCTCTGTCAGGAAGCAGAAACTCTACCTCAGCCAATGGTCTCTCAAACACCAATGCGTCTGGGTCGCAGAGCAATAGCCTTGAACCTCATTCCACTGCTGATCGTTTGGCAAACAGCATTAGTAAAGATCATTCTTCTGCGAACAGCCCTCAAAAGCACAGAGAGAAGAAAAAGCACTGTGAAACGCCAGAAAAGGACACGTTATCCTCAGACAGACACAAGCGCAAGCATAAAAAGCGCAAGCACTCTGAAGATGCTAAGTTTGAGGGCTGTCGCATTTCTCACCTGGTGAAGAAACGGAGGTTCAAGAAAGAGGAAAATGAGGAGGAGGAGGAGGAAGAAAATGAGAAAAAGAGTGACGAATATGTTCTAGCCAAACTCTTTAAAAAATCAGGGATCCACAGCGTCATGAAGCACGACACCATCATGGAGGCATCGAACATTATGTGCTTGTGGAAGCCGAAGCCAAGAGGGTTGCGAAGGATGCACTGAGAGCTCTGAAGATCTCCAGACAAAACTGCAGGCTTTCTTTCTCAAGAGGGTCAACAACAGCAACCCCACCTCCAGTCAAGTATGTCTATTTTGATTTTATTAAACTGAATGGAAATAAAAAATAATGTGTATTGTAATATTATCAAATTTTAATAAATTTAAGTAAATATAAAATGTTGCTCTTAGGAGAAGGTTTGGGCATAAGAAAAACTCACTTCTGTCTCAGTTGTCTGGGACAATGGCAAAAGCAGCAGAGAAATGCAAGGTATGTCAATAAGGATACAATATCCTGTTAGCCCCCAAAAGAATAATAAATGGTTGTTGGGCACACATGTTGTGTTTTTTTTTTTTAAATATAGGATGCCGATATTATAAAGAAGTCAGTTGTAAAGAAACCAGGATCTGCTGCTCACTTCAGCGGTGAAGGAGCGCAGGAGGAGTCTGGTTCTCTCTCCTCATCTTCTCTCCTTGCTAGAATGAGGGCCAGGAATCATCTCAATCAACCCCAGAGACGAGAGGATGAGGAAGAGGGCGAGAGAGAGAGTCTGCTGCCGTGCATGCTACCCCTACAGAACACGATGAGCTTCTGGTTGACCTGAGGAACTTTGTGGCCTTACAAGCTCAGGTGGATGGCCAGGCGAGCACCAAGGAGATCCTGGAGTACTTCACCCCGAGACTCACATCCACACAAACACCAGTGTTCAGAGAACTGCTGAGGAATATTTGTGAGTTCCATAGACTTCCTGGACAGGAAGGGATGTGGAAGCTTAAAGCTGACTACAGGTAGACGGACCAGAGCATATTAAAAGCTATTAACTGAGAAGCTCCAAATGGAATATATACCTCACACTTGGGAACAGGTGATCCGATGCATCAGTTATTTTAACATTACAAAATGTGTAAATGCAATTCATTTCAATAAACCTCATAGAACTTTCCAGGTTGGCTGCAAAAAGTACAAAAGAATTGTATTGGCCCTATTATTGTAAAACGCTCCTATTGTATGGAAAAAAATGTGATGTCATCTTATTGTTGGTTTTTGTAAAATTCCTGGAAATTACTTGAACTTGGAAATCTCTTGAAAATGTGTTATTCTTGCAATTATTGTTGAGACCAGTACTTTTTTCTATACTATGTTATAATATATATTACAATGTTATTATAATACTGCTGTAATTTTCTTTATTTCATTATTCACTCAATTATTGGTACTCTGTTCTACCAATAATTTGGCAATAATGGAAAATATACATTTTATATAGGGTTTCTACCCTATAAAGGTGCTTAGTGCCAATTTGTTTCCATTACATTTTAGTAAGTGAAGGTGATTTTGAAACTTATAAAATCAACATTATTTAATGTCTTGAGAGTATCTACCTCTGCCTTTCACTTACTATTTGTTCACTGAGAACAAATGAGATCTAATGTAATTGCAATGTGTAACGCCAGTGATGGAGTTGAGGGAATACTGTACACATTTTAACAATTAAATGGATTCATTAAAAGTTACCCAATAAGCATCATCCTTTAGATCAACTCCTTAGTACATTTTATTAATATGATCTAGGAAATGTAATGCATCACTAGATGATGAGCCAGAGACACCACCTCACAGGGGCTTATTGGATCTCATTTTGAAAAGAACTATGATTGTCTGTTGTTGCACATTAATCACTATGCCATGGCCTCTCAGGGACAGGCTTTTATTTCTTGTAACTTAATGTGTCAGAAATTAGTGTTCGTCGTATATTGTTTGTCAATGCGAGTTAGCACACGAGCAATTAAAAATAAATATTTTCAAAAATACTTGCAAAACATTTTTTTTAATTAGTGCTTTTGTTAAAATACATTTCTCTTCAAATGAGAGCGAATAAATCGTTAAATTAACTAACTGCAAAATGCTTTTTGAAACTATAAAACAAAGAGTTGCATTTATTCAATGCTCTATTCGAGTTTTCGACCATTAAAACTTTCTATTCGTTTATGCAGTCGATAATGGGCTCAGAATAATAATTTACTTCTTCATTTGTAGTCTATTAATCAAAAAGTTATTTTTAATGTTGGATATTTGTGCGCAAGCTGTCCTGTCGCTGACCAGGGTACTGAAAGTTTTTCTTTTCTTTTTCTTTTTTCTTTTGTCTTTTCTTTTCTCATGAGGCCTCATGCACACACAATTATTCTGTTAGTCAAAAATTTAAAACAGCAATTATTCAGTCGCACGTGCACTCTAAAGATATGTTTTAAATAGAGTGCTTTATGACACTTATTTTATCTGGCACATATACTGCTGTAATACACTCCCAGTCAGACTCTCACGGTCGTAGAAATCACTTGATCTATAGGTTTGATCAATTTAAATATATCTCCGTTCCGTATAATATTACAAATGTCAAGAAGTTATACAGAGCTCGTCCCCCAGTTTCCGATGCATTTTGACGAGATCATAACACCAACTTTATTTTCAGCGGTGCATAAATTAATTACACGCATTTAATAACTAAAATATCATTATATTCCCCTCTTAATATCATAAACGTTCTACGCCAGGGAAGCACTAATAGTGCAGGGGGCCATAACAGGCTATTATCCTTGTGTAATGCTATTAGAGAACCAATTATGCACCATTACACTTGCTTTTTTGCAGTTTATGTGATTTCATCCAATACCGTCCTGCACTTCAAAATTTCAGCTGCTACTCGGAGCCTCATTTCCAGCAGCAGAGGAGCGGCGGTGTCTGCGCGCGGCGTCCCGCGTGCGTTTTAAAAGTAATTGAAAGGGTCCCGCTGCATATCATTTACGCGAGAGTGGGAAATAAATCCTTGGACCCCTTGCTGTGAACAAAATCAAAATTTGGACCTGCGAGCGCGCAGCCAGTGGATTCTCGTATAAAGTGGACCCCTAACCCATATAATGAGCAATTACTGGTCTGACAGCCAATTTTAAACTCAAAAACAGTCATCTAGATTTTTAATATAAAAAGCAACTGTGTAAAAAAAAGTGCATCGTGCTTGTGCCCGTGTTTGTGATTTGGGAATATGCGTGCATCGAGCTAAAGTTTCGGAGTATTAGTGCCTTGGAGGATTTGGACGTTTCCACCACGTGCGCAAGCCGGTTGGCCGCGGAGAACCTATCCAAATGACTTGAAAACGAAAATCTGATTAATTGCAATTACGTGGGAGATTATAAAGGCAAGTGTTGTCATGCTCTAAACAGTCACAAAGACATCTGGTCACTCCCTCCTTATGCGCGAGAGAGCGGATAAACTGAAGCGCTCAGTGCTTGACGGTGGGAGAGCGATTGCTCTGCTGAGGTTGAGCTGGAGACACGAGAAGAGCGATTGCATAAAGACCATCTATAGGTGCAGATGCTTTTTACTTTATGCGCTTCAAATCGGTTGCAGAAACGTATTAGCATTGTTCAAAGTTATCTTTTTAAGACGCATGCGATTGCAGTAATAGTTGGCGAGCATTACGTTTACGCTTGGCCATTTTTTTCTTTGCAGAGTGAAATATTCTCTCCACTCGCAAAGCACCGGGAAACATGTTTTACTTTCACTGTCCTCCACAGTTAGAGGGAGAGTGCTGCAGGACCAACACATGTAAGTGTGATTGATTTCTTCTGTAAGATTGGGCTTTCATCTAAAATGTTAACTTTGTAGGCTAATTATATATTAATTAATGTGCATTATATCTGACAATCAAAGTTACTTAATAATTAGCCTAGGCCTATGTTTGTGTTTGTTTTATGGTGTTTAATATTTTGCCACATTGTAACGTGATCGAGGAGCTTGACAGCCGCCCAGCTGAGACATTTTGTTGCAGTCTGTCTGAGAACAGATGTTAGATGTCATGCCTTTCAACTGGCATTTTGTTGGTCACGGTTTCTCATCGTGTCAAGCGACAATTCAGGTCTCTAGCAGATGAATGCAATAAATCAACTGTTCCCTGTGAATTAGTGCATCACGATTAAGTGAGATGCATTTTTGTGAGAGGCAAAAATGTATGTTTTTATCCTACAGAAATGTTATATTTTAAAAGTGTCGCGTTACTGTTTTAAATAGTGAACACAAATGGGTTTGGGAATCACGCCTCTGGAGACTTTGATGACGGTTTTCTGCGCAGAAAACAACGCAGAAACAGGACGACCTTCACTTTACAACAGGTATCAAGTCAGTGAGGAGCAAGATTTACAGTGGATACAAAATAGAACCACTGTTCTCAAACTTACTTTGTAATGTTGTTTTATAAACGTCCTGTGCTTATTTTTCTTTTTTTGGACTAGGCATGCAGTGTGTAGATGCACATAAACATACATTTATATGGCGAAGATATCGCCTTTTAGAAGTAAACTTGTAAAGCAAAAACCAAGCATTTGCTTATTTAGGTTAAACTGTTTTCATTTGAACATATTTGTTTCCACATCCATTCAAAGTGTCCCAACAATTCCTGTTACTTGTAACGCATTTTCAAATCAGTAATTGAAATGTAGTCGAAAAAGTGTAATGCCTTTTCTACCACTTAAGGCAGCAGTTAAACAATTGTAGTTTTACAGGGCACTATGCATATAATTATTAATTCTCAGCAAACGCAAGGAATAGCCTACAATATATTTCTTTCTGAATTATAATGCATAAATTCAAGAAATGAATATGTCAAATATGTTTTACAGTTGGAGGCTTTGGAGGCGGTTTTTGCGCAGACCCACTATCCAGACGTGTTTACGAGAGAAGAGCTGGCTATGAAAATCAACCTAACGGAGGCTCGTGTCCAGGTGAGACATTTTCCACAACTGTCCTGATCCAGAGATGTAACGAATAGATCACGCAAAATGCGCACCGAGCACGTTTGGCCAAAGAAAGTAAATGAAGCCACTCTGTCATTTCCGTGATGCGCTTTAATAACATCAACATAATGTAGAATATTAGATTAGGTTGATTAATCGGTCATTCATAATTAACTAGTGGTAATGTTCTACGCTAATTTGCCCTCGTCTCTAAGGTATAAAAATTGCTTAGATGCACTGCCATTTCCGTGTTTCAGCAAATGGAGAGAGGGTGCAGTGCGTTTCGAACAAGACAAACGTCCCGAGAACGATTTTGCTCGGTTATAAAGCGCTCATGCACCTGAAACCTCCGATTTCATATTCTGCGGCCTTGCAAAACATCCGCGGTAATATCAAGTTGGCCACATGTAATTGCATTCAATGTGTCTGTATGTAATTTCCTGCATTCCAGATTTGCTTTTGGGTTTCCTTCTGAGCTCAGATCTAATTGTGGGGAATATAATAGTTTCCCTTTTGTTCCCCAGGGTCATCTTACTATCGCTTAAAACCAATGACTGCGACGCGATAATGGAATTCGCTGCTGTAAATTAGGGATTGTAAACAAATTATTTCTCTCTAATCGGATTACCCGATTCCCATTATTAAATCTGAACATGAATCGGTCGCAGCATGCAGGGATATTAAACTTACATTATTATTAGGAAATAAATTTTCTTTTTGTTGTAGTATAGTGGGCGCCCACCGTTTTTAAAATGTCAATTGGCTTGTGCTGCATTAAGAACAAACTGCAAATTGAGATTAATGGTGCAATTATGGAGCATTCAGTGCTGGGGGATCATGACTTCTAGCTGGAAGGTGCAAGGGTGAGATAATGTTGCCACAATTACATTGTGAATATTGTTGTCCTGCCAGTAAACTGTTGTTTCATATTATGTGGAGAGAGCAGCTATATGTGTGTGGCGTTTTGTTTGTTCGCATCATTGTACCTTTGCACAATGCTGGCCAGGCGCTGGAGATGTGGATGCATTATGCAACCTTTCCCATTCAAATATGATTAATGCCTTAGAGAGCACAGACTTAATCGAATCTGATGTTGTCAAACAATCACTAAATAGAGAAATAAACGACTTCATCATGGTTCTCTCTCAGAAGCAGGGAGACTGTCAGTAGGAAGTCATTAAAAAATGATAATGAAAAATTGCTCAATTAAATGTTGTTATAGGCAATGACCTTCATTCAATTAACATACAAGAACTTCACTGCATATGCTCAGCAATTGTGTTCGTGAAGTTTCAAATAAGTCACTGGCTTGTTAGATTCTGCAGCACATTTCGGAAATCAGCACTGGGTGCAAATAATCATTCTAATATTTATGCAACTGCTACTTAACAAATGACATTTTATATTGGGTTTCAGCAGAGGTGGGTTTCACCCCAAAAATTAAAATTCTGTAATTTATTCACCCTCACGCTGTATGACTTTTTTTCTTCTGTGGAACACAGATGTTAGGCAAAAGATGGCTAACATCTCCTTTCCGCAGAATAAATCAATTCACAGGTGACAAAACAAAAATGACAAAACAGAATTTTGATTTTTAATCAAACTGAGAGAGAATATTACTCATTATTACTCAGTTTTTTATACTGTGCTTTCTCTTTAGGTGTGGTTCCAAAATCGAAGGGCAAAGTGGAGAAAAACAGAGAGAGGAACTTCAGACCAGGAGGGAAGCAAAGAACAAATGAGTGACGGCATCCCTCCTGCACGAAACCTCAACCAGTCTCCTGTTGACCACGGCAGAAATAAGAAAGAACCAATGGAACTACAGCACAAGTGTGTGGATCATCAAATTAAATGTCCACATGAATATATGTTTGTTTTTGTCAAGAGATATAATGCCAAATTCTTTCCTTTATCCGCAGTATTAACAGAGTGGTGGGTTCAGGTGGACCTTTTTTCCCATCTTGTCTGCCTGGGACTCTGCTGAACACAGCCACTTACGCACAAGCCCTTTCACAAGTGGCAACTTTAAAAGGTAAGATCCAGGATCTACTGGATGTCATCATGGAAACGTGTCAGATAGGTTTGATATTTTTTGTTACTGCAACTGATGTGGATGAAACTACAACATATTGTTATCATATTTAGTTGTCTCTGTATATATATATATATATTTAAAAACGTAGATAGATTGCATTACCTTATGAGACCTTATTATAACAAATGAGACCTTATTGTAAAGTGTTACCAATTGACAGATAGATAGATAGATCTATAGTTCTCTCTGCATTCTGAGCGGTTTTGAGATATTGAGCTTCAAAGTTTTTGCATTCCATATACTTTATAGATAGAACATTTTTTTCTGAAACCTTTTTTTCTGAAAAAGTCTGAAAAATGTACACAACTTAAAAAACATCACATGATGTAAATAAGTTTTCACAGAATAAGAATATGTGAATAACTCAATTTTGACAAAAATGACTGCCACATTATGACACACTCTTCTGCTCTCATTAGGAAGTCCACTGTGTTCCTGCTGTGTGCCTGACCCAATGGGCCTCTCCTTCCTGCCACCATATGGGTGCCAGAGTAACCGGACAGCCAGTGTCGCAGCCCTGCGGATGAAGGCCAGGGAACATTCGGAGGCAGTGCTGCAGTCAGCCAACCTGCTGGGGGCAGGGTCTACAACCGGGACTGGAGCAGGTCCAGGGGTCGGGCTGGGCCAAAGCACTGTTTCTGTGGGAGGAAGCGATTCCAGTCCTAACTCCGGTACCTCTAAGATCACATCAATACGGAGAACTCCAGACAAACATCTGCACTGCCAAAAGGAGGGTCCGGATAAGAAATGAAGGTGTCTTGCTTTTTGTTTTTTTTCCTAATTTGAGGACACACTTTGGATGAAGGATTTATAATCAAATATTGACTGCCTGCTGCCTCTTTTTTGAGAGCACTGACATACCCCGGACAGGACGGTGTTAAGTGCAATCCCTTGTTGCGTATTTTGCGTGTATGTGTCAAACTATTAATTCAACTGTAATTTTTCCTCTCCTCATTCACTTTTACTCATGATTCTTGCCTTTGGTTTTCCCTGTTCGGGTGTATGTGGGTGCTGTAATTCAGTTTTTGTGGCGGAATGACTTTTGAACATGCTGTGTGGTAAAAGAAAACTCCCTGGTTGCCAATGTGAACTTATTTAATTTTTCACAATCCACTTGGATGTTTGACTTGTGTACTGTGAAGTCAGGTGGTGATTGACATTCTGCATTGTGTCAAGATATATGCCATGCTGAAATATAAATGTACTATTGTGAAATAATATATGTAAGATAATAATCAAGGACAGAACTGTATATTAAGTGGATTGTCATGTTTTATGATATGATCCGGGTAACTCTTATTCATGCTGATGTGATGGTAACTGACATCTCTCTTGTCATCACATCTGTACATCCATGATAGACTGCAAGATTTCAGACACTGGTCCTGTTTTGACATGTTCCATAAAACAATTAAACATGTACATCTCCTGTTGCCTATTGCTCATACCATCTGGCTATGATCAATTATTAATTAGTTCACAAGCGGTAGAGCTGCAAAAATGGAAGCAATGGTTGGTCTTATTATTTATTTATCTTAACGTTCATCATGACTTTCTCAATTCTTTTAATTTTCTTTTATACTAAAAAATACAAACAAAACCACAATGTTTTAGATTGTCAGTGCTATTATATGATGAGGAAAAGGCATTTACCATCAAATAGGTTATTAAAAGGAAACGTGAGTACTGGTTTTCAAAGAAACACTTAGCAATATTGGAAAAGCAACATAGTTTAAGAACACTTCACTGCTACCTTTGAAAAGAAGCTGGACTTATTAAATTCTCGTCCTTGAGGATTTTCAGGAAATTACTTTTGATAGTCAATAACACAATTGAGTAAACTGCACACACATTAGCATTAATAATTGATGTTGAATTATGTATTATCACAAAGTAGTGATTTAATTATTCATGATGTGACACCCTGGTGACAAAGCAGAGCCAGATAATGTCAAAAGTCTTGCCTGATGAAACAGTCCAGCTTGGCATTTGCATTGTTTGGTGACAATAATAAACGCTTTGTTCAAAATATGTGTAAAAATATGGTATTATATAAATTGAACTTTAATTGAAAATTAGATTATTATAATATATACAAATAAGGTTAGAGAAAATTAAGTTTGACCAGGCCGCAATATTATTAATTAGCTGGTGTGGCATCATCTCCATATAACAAGCAGAATTACTATTACTCATAACATGACATTAAGTGCGAAACAAATGAAAATTCTCATTTCACACAACACATGCAAACAGATGGAAGAATGCACTGAATCTACAACAAAATATACTGAAAATAACTGTACATGTGCTCCATACTCAAACTAGTTAAAATTAGTTGTGCTGTTTTTAATGCCAGATTTTATACATTTGGATGAACTATACAGGTACATCTAAAGTTTAGATAAGTCTTGCATATAAAATATTATTAAATAAAGATTAAAAATGTATACACTCTAAAAAATGCTGGGTTAAATACAACACAGCGCTGGGTAAAATATGGACAACCCCAGTGGTTGGGTTAAATGTTTTACCCAACCTTCTGGGTAGTTTTATTTAACTTAACTATTGTTTAAAAATGACTGTATGACTGGCTTAAAATAAACCCAAGACGGGTTGTAAATGTAAAATCAGACACATAATTACAAGAGGAATCAGCAATAATCAAAAGGTGAACATTTATTAATAAGCAATTAAAAATGTAAAAAATTGGCTTATCAATTATTGAACTTATTAATAAATGTTCATTTATTTAACATATAAATACATGTTAATTTCGAATCTATTTTGGGTTAATTTATAGTATTTTTTAATCAGTATAGTCGAGTTAAATAAAACTTCCCAGAAGGTTGGGTTAAACATTTAACCCAACATAAAGATGAAACATAATGTCTAAACTTAAATATTAAATCAGAAATCCTCTCTAAATATTTAATTATGCAAAGCAGAACTAATTAAGATCACGTGGCACCTGATAAAGTCCTACGTTATGACTGATTAGGGGAGCACACCTATTGTGCTTTTTTAAATTTATGTATTTTTATCACTCTTCTGTCATCAAACAGAGATCACCTGGTCCGGCTCATAACCCTACAGGTCTCAAAAAAGGGTAAAGACGCAGTGCTTCTAAATCCTGTCTTCACAGCGCCCTCTAGATTGACAGATTGAACACTATCGTCATTTTTTCCAGCAAACAACATGATGTGAAGGCGAGTGGCTGATGGACTTTTCACCAATATGCATATTGGATACGTATTAATTTATACATTTAACCTTAGTATTTTACGTGAAAATGTATCATTTACATGTATGGGCCTTATAGTAGCCTATGTAGACTTGCATACACTAAATCTAAATGTTTCAAAATATTATATAAATGTTCACTCTTTTTTACCTACAGATCCACAAAATGTATTCGAAGGTTTTTTCTCTTTTTTCCCCTGTGCTGATACATTTTCTATTGAATTGTTGAAGGGCTTGTCTCTTTTTTAATAGCCAGTAGCCATTTGTTTACATCACAGCGATGAACGTAGCTACTTGCTAGTGCTGGTCAGGAGTAGGGGCGGGACATGGTCATTCTAGAGAGCTTTTGATTGGACAAAATGAGTGAGTTCAGGATGAGTCACTTCTTATTTTAACTTTATTTTCCCGGGAGAGTTATTTTAAATGACATTTAAAAAAAAAAATGTTTTTCTTCTTTATTATACATTTTGGCTAGGGATGCACCGAAATGAAAATTCTGGGCCGAAACCGAAAATTCTTAGAAATAGAGTTAGAAAATAGTTAGAAATAGAGTTTAATAGCAAGCGAAATATGCTTATCTTGCAATGATTTGAAGTGATTAGAAATGTTATAAAAATGTGAACTCATGAACTAGGCAATGTGTCAAACCCAGGCAAGACGCTGGTCATAACAAACTTTTTACATTTTTTAGTTTTTAAATATCCAAACCTAAAACATGTTTGCTCCATATGTGACCTGTCGTCCTCAGTATGTTTCTCTCAGACAATAGAAATACTATTGTAAATGCACATTGCATCGGCTGATAAAGATGTCTCCACTTTGAGAAAACCCAAGGGAAAAATCAATTTAGACACTGTTGCTGTTGTTAATCTTTTTTTTCTTTTCCAAAATGAATTCCCGCACAGCAAGCAAACAAAGAAACAAATGGCCTGTGATGGTTTTAAGTAATTTAGAGTTATTGTAGTAGCCTAGTATTTTTAGAAGATTGTTCGTAACATTCATTGCACGTGGATTATTGATTATTCAGTCCAGTAATTCATTCTATTATGAGAAGCATTGTTACATCAAATTAACTGGAGAGAGGCCAAGCAAGCCTAAAAAACCCTAAACTAAACTAAATAATGACACAAATCAATTGTTTCAAATTTTGTTTGAATGAAGTCATCTCCAACGATGCTGGCTGTGTTAGAGCACCATGAGACCTCTGACGGACATTCAGCTGTATGTATTTACCCGTTACTGGGTCATAAAATGTCTTTGTCTTAACCGGTAGTGGTACATCCACCATGAAGTACTGCCCTGAGTTTGGGTCTTGCAAAAGCTTTCTCTGTGTCACGGGGAAAGGTTGGGCGACTATACTGTGTGCTGGGGGGGGTGTAATTTGGCTGGATGTCATACTGTGAAAGAGGAGGTGAGGCTTGTACTGCTAGATGTGTTGACAGTGTGTCTGAAGGTGAAGAGGGCACACCAGAGACATTTCTGATTGATTTGGACTCTAGCTGTTCTTGGTTTTCAGGTGCCATCTTGGGGGTCTCTGCCTTTTTCATACGCCTCGTTGTAAGTCTTTGTGCTCGCCGAAGAGCTTTTTCAGATTTTGTGGGCACCGCTGGAGGTTTTCCGAATGGCCTCATATCACTACAGGCTGATTCTGGTCTTTCATAGCAGGATGACTCTGGTCTTTCGTAGCAGGCGGACGCAGGCCTTTGGTATGTGTCTCTGTAACTTTCATGCTTGGGCATGAAGGCTACACTTATGTTGGCCACATCTGTGAGGCTTGCTGTACAGTTCTCCATATCCTCTGACATTGTGCTGATGACAGAACGAGTTTCTTCTTCCTCAAAATGTTGGCTCCTTCTCTGATGGCTCTTTGATTGTTTTGTTGCATATTCTGCTGAGGGCAAGTTATTGTGGAGTGTCTCTTTCAATTTATGGAACCAATGGGCAGCAATAGTCAGTTCATGGTTGACTGGAGGGTTAGCAGACTCTTTGGGGTGAATTTCATCTTCTTTCTCTGATCCGCTCAAGTGTTCCTTTGGGGAGCCAATCCTGAAGTCTTCAGATAATGACCTGTGAAAACATGGCTTGACGGTTTTGGTCACAGAAGATGTTCTGATGGTATTATCCTTCACTCTGAACATGACGGGCTTCCCCATGGCTGGAGAAGAAGAGTTGGATCGCGGTCCTATTGCATGAACTTTACCATAGTCTATTAGACTTTGCAAAAATGAGTCGTCTTTTTTTTCTTTCTCTGATTTTTCAGCTGAGTCTGTGTTTTGAGACATTTTGAGACATGGAGGAGGTGGTTCAGGTGCTTCTTTTGGCTTGATTTCAGTGTCAAGTGCATTCACTGTGTAATATTTTAGTTCTTCCATTTCTTCTCCAGGTGGTGATGTCATATTTATTAGGTTGTCTGCTGCTTTTACAGTGCCAGACGATGAAAAGTTTGCAAGAGATTCTTGTCTTCCATAATGAGAAAGATTGCCCTTTTCAGTTGTTTTGTCATGAGTCATTTGTCTTGATCTGCTTATTGTACAGCCGGCTTGCAATGGTACAACTTGGGGATTCTTGGACTGATAAATTGTGTTCCCTTCTCTTCTGTTTGGATGCTCCATGAAAGTTGGTTTAGTGTTTGATTCCTTTTGATTCGTTAGATCCCTTGGTTTGGTGCCCATTGATGCAGCTTCGTCTTGTGAACCTGAAGCTACCAGTGATAAAGGTTTTAGTTGAACTGTACTGGGAATCAAGTGGTTTTGTTTTTGAGGTAACATCTCTTTATCTGTTTGTTTTTTAAGTTGTGATGTTTTTTGCTTGAGATTTTGACATTTCTCCATTGAAATGACATCTCTTTTAGATCCTCCCCCTATATCCGACACATTTCCATATAAATCTTTATGAGTTCTTAAAACTGGCTGATCATAACTGTTGTAGAAGTCAGTTTTAGGGAATAAATCAATCTCTTTTGTATCGTCTTCAGCAGAGATAACTTTCAATCTAGCATAATCTGCAATAGCTGATATTTCTGGTCTAGTCACCTTCTTGTTCCTCTGAGTAGGCTCTGGTTTGGACAATGTCCCTTCTTTTCTTGTGTCCTGTTGACTTAACTGAGCATGCTCTTGTTCATATCGTGCACTTCCTTTTGTTTCTTGCTGATACTGGTTTGTATCAGTCTGATCACCCTGTTTTGTCTCAGAAGCTTCAACATTTCTTTCTTTCTTCCCTCTGAGGCTGCTTCTGTTTTCATTAAGTTTCAAATCACCATCATTTTGACCACTCAGACTTAATACAGGGTCTTTCTTTCTTTTGTCACTGTTCAGTGTGGGTTGTTTATTATCATAGATTTTTATATCTTGAGTCTCAGCTGCTTCTAATTTACTTGGACTGTCTTTCTTAAGTGGTGTGATTTCTTTTCCAACATCATATGTATTTTTGCATGTCATTTCAATGTGCCCTTTCATATTATCCACAGTTTTGGGTTCATTTTGGACTGTAAGGGGCTTAACTGGTAAGTTATTTTGTAAAGTCTCTGTAAAGTCTTTTTCACCCACCAATTCAGTCACGACAGCTCCTTTCTTTCCTTTCAGATTTTTCTTCTTTGTCACTTCATGTTGGTTTTTGTGACCTGCCATGAATTCCTTGTTTGATGATACTTCCGCTGTAGACACTTTTATGTACTCTAAGTGAATTTTTGGGACTTCAAAACAGGCCTGGTCTTGTTTTACAACAGTACACACATCCTCACCAATACTGCTAACTTTATCCCTATAATTATTAACATGTGTGGCAGTGCCATCTTTTAAAACCATCTTCATCCTGTTTATAATTTCATTACTCGTGTTAAATTCAACTTGTAACTTCTCTTGTGACTTTTTCTCCCCTTCTTTCTCATCCTCCTTTACATTCTTTTGCAGAGTTTGAGCATGTTTGTCTGAGACAGATTCTTGTTTCATAGCCATTACAGGATCCTTTTGTTTTGCCTCATGCAAAGTTTTCTCAACCTTTAAGTTAAATGTTTCTGTTCCATGTATTTTATTCTTTTGAGACGTAAATGTATCAGTATCATTAAACAATTTGTCTTCACCTTCCACCTTTTCAGACTTCTTTTTAGATTGGGGTATCATCCTTTCAGGAATTGTACTTTCAATGAGTTTAGTGTTGACTGGATCCTTTGCCACGGATGAAATGGGTGCCTTTAAAACCTCAGTCTTTGTTGGTCTTGTTGATTCATCTGTTGTTGTAGGTTGTTTAGCCGTCAGGGATACATTCTCAGTTTTCTTTGGGGACACTCTAGAATTAGATACAACATAAATATTTCCTGTCATTTGCAGTGGTTCATTTTTAGACTGCTCCACAGCAGCAATAATCTTACTTTTAAGATGTACATACGCTTCCTCAACTCTGGGTGTGTTTTTCTCCAATCCCAAGAGATAATTTTTATTCAAACCACTGTTTGATTTTGTAGTTTCAGTGCTTGTAATATGCAAGTCTTCTTTGATTATATCAGCAGGTTTAGTCACAGCTTTTTCAGAGGAAGTATACTGACTCTGGCTACTTTCATACATATTTTCTTTCTGATCATGCTGAACTGTTTGTTTTTCATTATGCTGTGCAGGTGGATTATGGGAAGTGTAGTTCTCTCTGTAGGTCTTGACTGTGGCTGTCAAATGACCTGACATCGATTCACCTGATGACATTTCATGACTTTGCTTTGCCGATTCCTTATTAGTGTTTATATTCTCTGAGCTTGTCATAATTATTTGTTTATCTTCTGAGATTCTGGATGGCTGGTAGTTTTTATGGACATTATTTTTCATATTTGCCACTGTTGCCCTTCTGTCCTGAGTAGACGTTTTTTCTTTCATCTCATTATCATCAGCTGGATGTTTGTCATTCAGCCTTTCTATAGCAAAAGGTTTGTATTTTACATTCCCCTCCTTCTTTTCTGGGACTGCATTCTGATTATCTTCAAAATTAAGAGGTTGTATTTCTGTTGATGGTGGAGATCTATTCTTGGGATGATTGTTGTGCAATTTAATTTGTTCTTTGTACTGGGTTACACTGGAATAAGTGATATCTTCAAACAAATGATTCAGCTTGTCTGCTGTGATTTCCTTCTTTACAGAATTACCTTCTTGGCCATCATTATTGATAGTCCCTCCTGCTTTTGTTGCATTTCTCGCAAGAATGCCTTGTTTGGAAAGTCCCTTTTAATTGCTGATATTTCCTTTTGAGCATGTGCTTTCAATTTCGACGTCAGTATTTCTTGTTTAATTTGGCTTCTTTCCTTGTAAGAAAGCACTCTTGTTGTGACCATGTCAGTATCTTTACTCATTGTACTGTCTTTTCTGTAAGTGCTAATATTTGTTTCATTTATATTTTGAAAATCCTTTCTCACATAGCCAGGTGATGGACTTGTAATGTCCTGCAATTTGTAGCCTTGTTGCTCTTTTACAGGCTCTGTTATGGTTAGTTTTTCAGCTGTATCATATTTAATTTGATTTTGTGGGTTTTCTGTTTTAGCCAAAACAAATGTATTATCTCTTAACCTCATTGCTTGCTCATTATCTCTAATGGCAAGAATATCATTTATGCTGAACCTGTTTTCTTGTTTAGTTGGTAAACTTGTATTATTTTGATGTGAGGTATCAATGTTTGGGATGACTGAATCTTTATCTTGCAAAGCAGGATTTGGTGCACCATTATTGGTGGAAAACTCCTTTTGATGTATGTGTAGTGTACTTGAAGATGTATTGGAGATTTTATAACTCTTGGCACCAGTTTGCTCAAACATCTCTGATTGTTTCTGTGTCCATACACTTTCCTTAGTGTGTCTATCTTCACTTGTTGATGACATGTGCCACTGTTTGTTAGGCTCATACCTGTATGGCTGATAAGAGTACAATCCTTCATTCTCTTTACCTTTATAGTAATGAGCTCTCTGATCAAATCTATTTTGTGTCACCATGGTGTTAAAAGAAGAAATTTGCTCTGGTACTCCTTTAACAAAATCATTGTTGACACTGAAGCTTTGTAAACCACCATGAACTTCTGTTAGAGGAAATGTTTTGGTCTGGAGACAGTTTTTTGGTATTCCGTATGATTCAGTAGGCTTTGAAAATGTGCTTAATTCGTTGTCATGTATAGATTTTTCACTGTAAGATGTTTTCCTGGGTGATATTGTGTCTTCCCTGACCTCTTTCTCCTCCTCCTTTGTAAGTCGACCAAGTTTAATGTCTTCATTCACTTTTTGCATGTACGTTTCCTTTCGGACAGAATAGCTGTCATTGGCAAAATATTGCTTAGCGGTGGCCTTTCTCTGTTTGTCCATCTCAATCAGTGCTGCTATTTCTCCTCTAAATGGCTGTGATTCAGATCTTCTGTCTGTTTCCTTGACTGAACCAATCTGGTCCCATGAACATTTTTCTTTTACAGCATTGTTTTGACTGTATTCAATAAATGTTTTTCTTCCAAAGTCCTTTCTTTGTTTTAGATCATTTTGACTTGCGTTATCACTCTGGCCGTAAAGCTCTGATGTCTGAGCAGGCAGAGAATGGGTGGGTGGGTAAGCCTTTGGAAGCACATTTGCTATTTCTGGCCTAGCAGGAATAAAAGTACCATTGAGGTCTTTTAATTGACCTTCTGATGTCAGAGAGCTTTTATCCTGTGCTGAAAGATAGTGTGTTGAGAGCTCTGTGTTAGCCAGTGGATCTGTGCTGGGAGAGTGACCCTCTGAACTTCCACGGAACAATTTGTAATTAGCGACTCTGTCCTGAATTTGAGGTGAAGTTAATGTAAAATTATCATATGATCCAAAGTCACCTGTATAATCTTTAGGGGTGATAGGAGCTGCACTGGGCTCTTGAATTAGGTTACATGAGGCCCGTGCATCCATTCCAATCAAATTCTCCTGAGCAGTTTCTTGGGATACAAAAATATCTGAAAATCTGGATTCTCGGCCCTCCAGCTTTGAGGTCTGCTTATTTCGATCTGTTATTTCTAGCCCTTTAAATCTAGTGGGACTGTACGTACTCTTGACTCTTTTTCGGTTATCTTTGAGGTTGAATAGCAGACTTGAAGCTTTAGATTTGTAGCTGTCACGCAGATGTTTGACATCAGTCTGAAGTTTAGGGTCAGTTTCACCCTGGGAAGAATAATCAGAAACAGAAGGTGTGTGTGCAAACTGCAGGATCTCAGACGTCTCTGTTTCTTGTCTTGTGTGAATAACTGGTGTGAGGAGCTGAGTGATATTGAATGGCGTCACACTGCTAGGCAGGTTGCTCTCAACCACTATCTCGTGTGTAACTTTGTTATTTCTAAACAAATTTGAATCCGGCCTACATGTTCTCTCATTAGTAGGTGAGACTGTGGAGGGCCGGTTGCCTGGAAGTTTGTTCCTTACTAAGTTATTGCTTTTTTTCCAAGGTGGATAGTTGGAAGCCATTTCAGATTCGCACCTCTTCTCAATTGCGGAGGCTTTCTGGACAACTGTGGACCTGGAGCGCTGGCTGGCCACAACATCCTGAATTTGTCTCTGATTGAAGCTCCTACTTTCAGATGGAGAGTTTGGAATTCTGTGGTTGTCTTTCAGCTCTTTGTACATGGGAGAATCATACCACCGTGGGAATTCGCTAGCCGACATAAACCCTGACACATTTGTACTTTGGAATGAGAACCTGTTGTACTCTTCCCAAAGCTGGAAGGGACTAAATTCACTATGGAAAAAACTGTTTGTAGAGTTCAGTGTCTTGAACTTACTTTTCGAAGATTTCATCAGGACAGTTGTGTCCATCTGCGCCACTGTGGCAGCCACGTCAGATGCAACATGGGAGAATCATACCACCGTGGGAATTCGCTAGCCGACATAAACCCTAACACATTTGTACTTTGGAATGAGAACCTGTTGTACTCTTCCCAAAGCTGGAAGGGACTAAATTCACTATGGAAAAAACTGTTTGTAGAGTTCAGTGTCTTGAACTTACTTTTCGAAGATTTCATCAGGACAGTTGTGTCCATCTGCGCCACTGTGGCAGCCACGTCAGATGCGTAAAAATGGTTTCTGTAAGATTGAAAGGGGCCTGACTTAAAATTCTGATGATATCCTGAAGAGAACTTCATATCCTGAAGATCCTGAAGTTCTCTTTGGATGCTTAGCATAGCTGATTTGTCCCATGATTCACTGCCAAAGTCTCTATACCTATCCCTTGCCAGAATAACGTCACATGTCCCGTTGTCATGGTAACACTCCCCTGAACTAAAGGCTTTGATTAGAGATGACACCCTGGATGTGCTCCTGCTCTGCTGCCATGGCACCTCCTTGGAGCCATTGTTCATATAAGACAAGCTTCCCTCTCTGAAAGCCTGTTCCTGGTGGGTTACATCCACATAGGAATGCTGGAATGTCGAGGCCATCTCTGACTGTACTTCTGCTTCCCCATATTGCTGAATGCTGTATGACAATGCTTCGTGGGAGATTGTCTTTTGCTGGGTTTCATCTGCAAATGCCTTGTGTCGTTCAGTAGGAGATGAGAATAATTCTGAGTCATTGTAAATGGCCTCCTCTCCGATGCACAGGCTCCTGAAGGCACGATCGGTGAGGTTGCTCACCTCCCTGTCTGTGTCGTCCATAAAGCTGCCGCTGCTGGATGTGTCACTGAGGCCATCTGAGTATTTGCGGTGGCCCTGCATGCTTCCCCGCTGGCCTGCGTGGCGCTTTTCCAGGGAGCTCATTTCAAGCGCTCACTCTCATGGGCACGGCGCAGTTGTCCCTGTCAGTCTTCAGATGGCTGATGCAGGGTGTCTTGCATTTAAGTAGTTCACCTTCTAAAAGGTGATCAAAATGCCTTCCTTTCCTGCAAAAGTACCAGAGATGTCATAAACTTGCAGTTCACTGTAGTTTCGACAAAGGTCTTGCAAATCGCACTGCTAGTCTTTGACCTTTAAATATGATCATTTGTGAGTTGAGCTGCACCTTTGCCTTGTATCCTGCATATTCATATCATGTGAAGTATATTTAGAGAAGGAAACTGCTTCCCATTCTTACACAGGATCACATATTAACCTTCTCTGACACTTGCTTACATGCTAAAATGGGTCCCACTGGAACACCCTGCACATGGAGTTCATATGGTAGTAGTGGTAGAATTACAGAAGTATTTGGTTCTAGCATTACATCCAATTTTAGATCATTTAAATGTTAGTATGTTTTGAAGTAATTAGAACTGTTCATTTTATGCATTTTGACTTTACATATTACAAAACGGCATGTTTACAGTTGTGAAAATTTAATAAATATAATTAAATATGGATTCTTTTAATATTTCACCTTTTATGCAGAGCAGTATTCAGTACAACAAATGTAATGGCAATTATTTCAAGACTCTTTGCTAATTTCTGGGGAATAGCTATAAATAGCCTACTTCCCCCACAGCAGTGTGGTTAATTTAAAACTTTTTTTAATTTAAAAATAAATTTAAAAATAAATTCCCCTGATGCTTTGAAACATGCAAGACATTTTGGTGAGAATACCTCTGGAATGTCTTTTCCTTTGTGTTGATCTAGTATATGCAAGTATGTAGAAGTATGAATGTGTAGACACACACACACACACACACACACGTATATGTGTATATACACACACTGATTTTAATTATAATTATTATTACTTTGAGTTGAAGTGTTGTCTGTATGATTAATAAACATTAAAGTTTTCAGTCTAATCTTTATGATATTTGTTTGAGGCTGATTCGGATAGTCTTTTAACTCTTTTATTCTTGTCCCTGCCTGTCCTGCATTCACAGAGCAGTTTGGACATTACAGATGCTACTTTAATACAGGGCTGTAACCACAACAGACACATCCTCTTAATATTCAGAATAATGCTCAACCAATATTTTTTTTTTCAATGATAGATTCTTAAACATTTACATTTATTTATTTTTACATTTGGATACATCCTTGCTTAGTAGTATGAAAACATAATAATAATAAATAGTAGTTAGGGTTACACTGTCTGCATGTACATTGTTTTATTAAAGATAATAAAAACTTAAAAGCATAATTTCAATGGAAATATATCATACTTTGCGTCATGAATCAACTGAAACTTAACATTGCAATTTCTTTTATTGCTGTAAATACATATTTTGGATTATGGTACTCATACCCACAAATAATAACATATTTATTATTAATAATTACATATTTCTATAAACTATATAATAAAGACATTTTAGTTAGATTTTAACACCTTGCATAAACTATCCACATTACATTCTGTACACAAGTGTGCTTTTTTTCTTACCTTTTGCTCTTATATCGCATTTTTTAGTGGAGAATTGTTTTCATGCTTTAGAAAGAAGCTATTCCTCCTTCAGTGCGTATGTGCAGCAAAAAAATCTCTTCAACAATGCTCTCCTTAAAGTTGACAAAGTGCAGATGTAAAGGCCACTTTGTACAAGGGCCCTGGTGGGGCTAAAGCAACGAGGGTTCCGAAGCAGAAACACGCTGAAATAGCAGTGGCATCAGGCAGAGATGAACGAGCTGGAAACATGGGGCGATGGCTTGAGACAGTACATTTGCATAAACTATCCACATTACATTCTGTACACAAGTGTGCTTTTTTTCTTACCTTTTGCTCTTATATCGCATTTTTTAGTGGAGAATTGTTTTCATGCTTTAGAAAGAAGCTATTCCTCATCTGTTGCATATGTGCAGCAAAAAAATCTCTTCAACAATGCTCTCCTTAAAGTTGACAAAGTGCAGATGTAAAGGCCACTTTGTACAAGGGCCCTGGTGGGGCTAAAGCAACGAGGGTTCCGAAGCAGAAACACGCTGAAATAGCAGTGGCATCAGGCAGAGATGAACGAGCTGGAAACATGGGGCGATGGCTTGAGACAGTACATGTATTGGAATAACCATGTGGTGTCAAGTGTCAAGCAGATGAAAAAAAAAATCCCAAGCCTGTAATTCTGTTGTTCCATGTCAGGCCTTAATAATCAAAATTACATTGGAGCACCACTGAAATGTATAATGCCAGGAGAAAAATCTGTTGTTTGTGGCATAACATGCATCCACTTGTGGAGTTGTTGTGGTGGATAGCACGTATCTAACCAGATGAACATGTGCCCATGGTGTAAAAATAGCTTCTTGCTTCACATACAAGTGTTACTTTCTTCTTTTGGCTGAACTGTGCCCACAGACTTGTCAACAGATGATATCTGACCCCTTTTGGGGATTTTAAGTGTTAAACATGTCTTTTACCCCAATTTTTTTTTACCACAGTCAGCCCAGTAACTGAGTTATTAAAGTCTAAGAAAATTGAATAAACTGGACAGTCTCTGTTGCCAATTACCTTAATATAAGGGGGTAATAAAAGGGTCAAAATAGGAGGGGTATTTTTTGAGCCAGCTCCTCCCCCTTTCAGTCAATCCATTTTCAAATGTCCCCCTGATGTCAAGCTATCTCACACCAGTCTTCATTTTGCAGCCAGGTACTGCTATAATAGGACATGGGTGCAGTGAGCTCTTTCCCAGGAGGCTGCACCAGAGGGCCTGGTGTGTAAAGGTGATGGACACTCCCATGTGGAGCGGCAGGGCTGCCCTCACTCTTCTTTAGAGCTCTGTTGCTAAGCTCTCATCAGAGCTGTTTCTCCCTCACTCACTACTTCCTCAACACTCACAGCTGTAGTTTACAGCACTGCCTGATACTGAGCAATTCATTATCCTCAGCTGAACAAGATGACATGTTATGACCACAATAACACGAGTCTAACAGCTGAAAACATGAGTGATGGTTACAATATAACAATTCAGAAATCCATAATTTTTGTTGTCATAAACGTTTTTGCATTCATTTGTGCAATCATGAAAATTCTGATCATGAAAAATAATGTTTTTTACACTGCAAGAAACTTTTTCTAGTAGAAAATTCTAAACATCTATAAAATAAGTTTTACATCAGAAGCAATATTCCATCTTATAGATTTTTTTTTTCAGTTTAATTTGCATAGCGTCCTAGAAGTAAAGGTTAAGTTTCACAGTATAAATATATAAACTGCTTGTTTGAGTAGTCAAAAACAGCAACATTCAACCAGTATAGTGTGAGTTCAGGACTGGACTATCTGTTTAACTAACCAGTGGCAGACACAAGAGTATTTAATCATTTTGTAATTTTTTTTAATGACATTAAAGGTGCAGTAGGAGAAATTTGGAAAATGCTAACTTTAGCCTGCAAACCTTCCACCCTCCCTGCAATCGCTGTCCAAAGCCACACCCCCTGAACGCATATACGCTCACAGACCAGAATACCAGAGACAACATTACTACAACAGACTACATCACCAGTTCCCAATTCCAGCCCATATTCCGAAGTGAAGTAAACTTTGACGGATTTCCCCTGCTCAGGGAGGAGAGAGCAATGAACACTGTATAGGGATCATATCGATCGGAACACAATTCATGCACGTAGCTCACTTCTATCGAGCTAAATGTAGCTTTACATCTATGGGGGTTGGGACGCCTACACACTACAGCCTCACGTGTGAGCCACATCTCTGGGTGGAACCGGCGTAAACTAGTGTTTTTCCTGGATGCCTCACCAGAGCCAATCACCAGCACTTGATTTAGGCACATCAAGCATGCTGCACACTTACTGGCTTACTGAAACCCTTAGGTATCGAAATCTGGTATGACATTTGGTACGAACGACAAGACATTT